GAAGATATAATAATAATAATAATAATAATAATAATAATAATAATAATAATAATAATAATAATAATAATAATAATAATAATAATAATAATAATAATAAAAACATGGATACAGCATTGTCCGTTGATGAAAATACTTTCAAAGATAAGTGAAAACTTAATAAACGGACACACATTTGACAACGACGGTAATTCAATATTGTCAATTATCATTCTTTGATTTATGTAATAATTCAAGGCAATGCAAACGTGTAGAATATCGATCGAATACTCTGCGTTATTTTTCAATCACGTACGCACATGAGAGGAGAAGAGAGAGCAACGAAACAAGCTCTCGCATATCGGTCTCTACGAATCGATGATGTCGGTAACAAAATTATTTCGCTTTGGGTCATAGTAAAATGTATGATTGTTCAACGATAACTGTCATTAAACGCGATTAAGATAAGTCCAAAATTAAACCCAAAGAGTTTAGGTAGTTAAAAAAAATAAATCATCATGTCAAAACCGGACGGGTAGCACGTTCGTTTGCACGACTTAGAAAAAATACGTGCAGAAACGTGATAAATATCTGAGATATTGAGAAATAAATGCTTCTCGCGGTTTTTCGATCGAGAAGGGGATGAAAAGGAAAACCGGAAGGGAGAGGGGTTTTGATCGGGGATTCAATTTTCATGGAAAAAGGAGATGTAACGTAGGAGAGAGGGTGAATATCGGGTTGAAAGGGGAGAAAAATCTGGATGAGGAGGGTGAGAATGGAGTGACTAGCGGCGGCGAGCTCTACAACTAAACAACAACAACAGTATTTTCAGTTATAACAACATTAACAAGTAAATTCTCCGCGTGTATGCGCTTACACGTCTCGTATGAATTTCCGTTTTTCACGCGTGCGCGTATACATAATGCACGCAAACAAAATGGGCGTCCCGAATTCGCCTGCGTTTATCTTTTTTGTACGAACATTTCATATACGTGCGCGTGCGCAGTTTGGAGAATGATTCGTATACGTGCGTGTCGCGTACGAGCATCGAATAGACATTTTTCTTCGTTTCTTCTTCGCTTAATTTTCCCTCCCATTTATTCCCCGTGTCTTGTCTTTCTTTCGAGCCTCGTTCCATAGTTTTCGGAAAGACGTGTTTCAAACGTTCACATTCATTCACACGAAAGTGAGAAATTCGCTTCGCATCGTGGCACGCATATATACGAAAGTATAACTTTCTGCTAGGCGGAAACGAATTCTCGAACGATCGCGACGGGAGATTTCTTACTGACGGAAGGAATCCGTTCCGCTTAGTTGGCGTACGCGCACGTGTTCGTATAAATAAGGCCTGTCATCTTGAATTTCGACAGCTGTCGAATCAACGCAATTTCGCTCGCATACGCGCTGCATTTTGTCTCGTCTCGTAAAACGGAAGTGAAGTAGGTCGAGCGGGCGAAGATGGATAGGTAAAGTGAGTACGAGCGGTGATGGTAAGTGGGTAAAGAAGAAGATAGGCAAGTATAAGTAAAAAAGATCGATGAGATCCTGGTTTCATGGCCGTCGAAACAATGCCGATAAAGATGACGACGACAACGACGAAAATGACGTTAGACGATCGTTGCCGGCGTCGTGATTTTTCGGTACTCTACATGCCGATTGGCGGCACTTGTACGTAACGATATATGTAGAGTCGATAATCCTTGCTGGCCAGTACGACCGATCCATCGTCCATTAATGCGACATCGAAACACTGGGCATGCTTGACTTTGCTTTCGAGGGCCGAAACCAGTTGACCGTCTTGCGTGAAGATCGTCAGATTGAAGTTATTATGATTGTCTGCTATCAGTATTTCGCCTACGGCGTTGATTCCTACCCCGATCGGGTAATTGGTGATCCCTTCTCCACCGATTTGTCGAAGATAGGCACCCTCGTAATTGAACACCTTCACGCAATGGGCGCGATTGTCGCTAATGAAGATCTCTTGTTTGTCGTTCACGACTACTCCATTCGGAAATTCTAAGTGTTTTGAGCATCCGAATTTCTGAAGGACAATGCCGGCTTGGTCGAAAATAATCACGCGCATCACTTTGCATTCGACGACGACTATGCGCCCTTTCGAGTCGACCGTAACACCGCGCGGATGTTGCAATATATTTGCCCCAAATTTACGCACGAATTGACCATATTGGTTGTATATTTGTATCTGATGAGTCGGTGAACGTTCGGTAACAATTATGTCGCCCGATGTTTTCACTACTGCCACCCGATTTGGATAAAGCAATTGACCGTCTCGTTTACCACACTCCCCAAATTGGAATTTGAATCTACCCTCTTTATCGAATATTTGAATCCGATGATTGTTCGTGTCGGCTACGATAATGTCATTTTGCGCGTTCACCGCCACCCCCGAAGGTTCGGTAAACTGGCCTTCCATAACACCGAACTCGCCAAATTTGCAGTGATAAATCATTTTCTGTCGCTTGATCTGCGACTTCGGCGGGAATATCACTGTGGCGGACATCAGTTTCGAAGTAAGGTCAAGAACAGAGTCACTGGACGCGGCATTTGCCGCAACGGCAACAGACGTTGGCATTGGAAAATGATCGTTCGTGGTGACAACTGGATAAACATCGCTACCTCCGTTGCTCCATTTCTCGTAAGGATTCGCGTTTATACCGTTCAAATTAAGATCGCTGATCGTGGTTGAAAATGGGCCTAGGCTATTAGCCGAACTGAAACGCTTGGTGATGACAGTGCTGTTGGTATCGAAGGACGATGGCGATGTGGACGAGGCGCAGGTAGAAGTGGAGGATATCAGGCCGTTGCTGTAAGGGCGATCTAATAGAAGACCTCCCAAAGATCCAGCGCTACCGGGTCCATTGTTGGCATTGCTTCCACCGTTACCATTATTCGAGAGTGCCGTTGGTCGAGCGATAGGCGGTTGTTTCCCAATCGGGCCGGCGTTACTCTCGTTATTGCTTCGAACGTAACCGAACGTGTTTCGTACGCCTACTTGAATCGCCTGATAATTGCTGACGAATTCGAGATCGGCGGTTTGATTGGCAATGTCCGGCGTATAATTCAACAACAGTTGAAGTTTCGAGTCGAGTAGCTTCTTCACCATCAGTACCTCGGTAACAGTGGTGTATTTGGTTAACCGTTCGACAAATTCGCAAGTTTGAAGCATTTTATCGGCCATGTCGTTGGCCTTTTGCGTCAGAACGCCAAGAGACATTTGTTTCGTGGAAAATACCGATTCGAGCTCTTTCAATAATTCTTGCTTACGTTCTTCGAGCATCGATCGATAGAATTGAAACGTGTCATTGATTTCATTTTGCGCTTTGTGATACTGCACTTGTAGCCGTGCCGCTCCGTGATCGGCTGCTTTCACAGCGGCTCTTACATCCGCAGCTTTTGCTCTACATTCTTGAACTACTCTTGCCATCGCTTCGAGTTGTTGCGTCCCTACCTCGGATATGTGCGCGCAATCGTGTAACGGGCCAGGATGATCGGTAATTGCGCACTCCTTACAGACTAACGCTGTACAAGTGCGGCAAAAATATTTTAGCAATTCCTGTTTATGCCGAGGGCAATAAGGTACTTTCTCGCCGTTGCTGCTACCGCTGTTTATCACCAAATTGTTCTTTGGGATTTCGTTATTCGCGGTGCTGGTGGTAACCGTCTCGAGTTTCGAATCGCCCAAGTTGAGGACACGATGGCCTTCGAAGCAGTGCATGAACTGATGCGCCATCACGCAGTTAGGGCAGAGGAAATTCGCACAGTCGAAGCAACGAGCTACAGCGTCGGATTCGGTGGATTTGCACCCGGTGCAACGAACTCCACCGGCGCCTCCTAATCGGCACCGCGGGCAAGGTGCCTCTCCAGGTTTTTGCGAGTCGAGGCAAAGGTCGCAGCTGTCGACGTCGCAGATCGCCGAGTCGCTCGCAGGCGGAGAACTGCCGCTCACTGTAAGCGGAGACAGCGAGGCCAGGGATCCGATGGAATTCGCGCGCGATTCCAGCGAAAGTGTCGGCGAGGCCATCTTCAATCAACCGGCATCCCTATTAACAAAAATAACGCATTCCTTTAACAATCGTTTTATATTATACTTTTTTTAATTATATCCTTATTACCAATTTTGAAACATTAATAAATATAAAATACAATTTCCATTTCTCTATCAATTTTATATAAATTTTTCTCTCTCCCTTTTATTAATTTTTAATTCGATTATTGTTGAATCTTCAGTATTGAATTATAATTTTAGTCACATATACACATATTTTATTCTACACATTGTATTTGTAAAAAAATGTTTCGGATATATGAATGTAGATAAGAATGATTTTATATATAAGATATATATAAATTAAATATAAAAATAAATTGAAAATGTAAAATAATATTTTTCATTTGAGTTTTTATTTTCGAGAATTTAACTTAAAAACTTGTTAAATATATGTGAATTTAATTAATAACTGATTGTATAGTAAATAAAGTTAATAGAAAATTATTCTATATTATTCTATACATATATATAAAATACAATTTTTTTTTCTCTACAAAATAATTTTAAAGAGAAGTGCATAATACAGAATTAGGTTAAGTTAGGTTAGGTTAGCCAAAGAGTCGGAATTCTGTCTTATTATTAGTTCCTGTTATTTTCTATCTTATTATGTTTCTACATACTTAAACGGACATGATAACTCTGATCTTATATGACATAGCAAGAATATTAATTATCAAAATTTAATTATTATATTTGAATACAGATATGTGAATCATAGTAAAATAAAGATAAAGGAATATTATAAATTCGAAATAATATTTTTTAATCTAATTTTATTACTCTTTTGTATCGTTCTTTTCTTTAAATTAAGATCTATATATATATATCAATCTCGATTTTTGTAACTATCACTATGTTTATAATTCAAAATCTTTTTAAAAGAGTATAATATCATTGATGATTACTGAATAAAATTAGATAAAGATATATGATTTCGTACCGCATTTTCTATGAATATAAAGCTTCTTTTAATGCTTTCTTTTAAACATGTAAAAATTAGTAAAAGAAAATTAATCATTTATAATGAAATTTATTATATGAAAGACAAGAAAAACATAAGCAATAAAATATTATTTAATGTTTTATTTTTCATGAAATAAGTTTTATAAATTTCAAATTACAATCTTTTGTAATTTTAAACTAATGATTTTTTGATATAAATATCTTTGAATATTTTTTTGTAGAAAAATAACAAACTGTATTGATTAGAATAGTCCTATTTAAAAAATTAAAGTTAACTGTGATCTTTAAAATCTATAGAAAATTTATTGATATTGTATAATGTATCTTTTTATATCAAACAACTTTTATCTGATATTCTTTTCTATCGTTCATATTTTTCAAAATATTTGAGCAGTTTGAGATAAATCAGATTCGTTACACATAAAAAAAAACTCGATTTAAAAATCTGCTAGAAATATAGTGAAATCGTCCATGTCCATTGTCAAAAATTAATCTATAAAAATTTAGACTATGAATGAAAAAATAACTACTCAAAAAATTTTAAATAAGTTACTTTAATTATTTATTAAAATGCTTAAATAACATTTATTCATAGCTAGTTGATCCGTTTTTCATACAGGCTCGACCGCATTAAAATTATTTGCGATTATTATTATGTTACTATTCAACTATTAAATTTTGCTTATCTTCTTCTTTAAAAAGAATATCGATCATCGGATATGATTGTGATTTATCACGACCGGAAACTCTGTTTCTTCTCGTTGCATATTTACGCGAATCGAATTCAAATTTATCTTTTCTTTATTTTTCATTTGTTTCCCTTTCCTTTCTCCAAATGACTCGTAAACAATTCACAAGGAAAAAATGTCATCTCTTTAATTAAATCGTTCCACTGGACGGTCCTGTTTTACCTGAACCTTCCGTAGATAGATGGACGGATAAAGGAAAAAGAGCAAAAGGGAAAGGCAGCGAACAGAAAGAAAAGAGGTCGGTACCCTGCGAGTCCAAGGTCATGAATGCGAAGGTTATCGTATATTTTCTAGTTGGCTTGGTGAACTTACGATGTTCCACGTGTCCTTCGTATTCGCAATTCCACGACGGAGTATAAAGACACAGAAGAAAGATGGAACAAGGGACGGATAAAAGTTAAAAGAAGGACAATAAACGGGAGAGTAAAGGAAGGAAAAGTGGGTGGAAGAGCAAAAGCAGAAGGAAGGAAGAAGGTAAAATGCGCGAATAACCGAATGGATGGAAACAAAGAACGTTTCACCGCTCCAGGAAATGCTTCTAAAGTCGGGCTACTCTTCTCTCTGGTACGCGGCGATACCTTCGTGCAGGAATTTCGATCGAGTCCCAAGATAAAAGGTGAATGCTCCTAAGGGAAGCACTTGGACTCGAGGTCGCTGGAAAACTACATTTAACGTAGCGAATATCAAAAGAAATGTATTTCGAGAACAATGAAATATACAACAACATTGTTGTCTTAATTTTAAGATATGTAAATTATCGAAATTTATTTCAATTATATCGTGATGAAATGAACAGGAATTTAAAAAAAAACTATATACTATAATTGTACTATTAATATTAAATTTATATCAAATTATTTTCCATTTGCATTCATTAATTCACTATTATATCACTATTATATTTTATATCTAATTGCTATATTTAAAATTTTTTTTATATATCACTTTTAAACATGGTAAACATGGTAAAAACAAAAATAATCCATTAATTTTGATTTTTGTTATTAATATAATAAAATTATATTATTTGTTTATTTGTATGTTTTATTATTATGTATCTATGTATCTATGTATTAGTATATATCTGTTATTATATATTTTACACTTTTTTGAAAACAAATATAACATAAAATATATATAAATTTCTATTGCATCATTATAATAATAGTAATATAATTTTATAGTTTTATAATCTTTTAATATTATATAAAATATTTTAATTATATAATTTAATATAACTATATAATTATATATCTATATATAATTTCTCTATTATATTCATTTGTGTATTATTCAGAGTTATTTATTTTCATTATTCTAAATATAATTAAAAAATTTTTAATTTTTTATTTATATTAGTTATTCAATATCAATATTTAATAATTGTAAAAATAAAAAAGGATTCGAATTTTGAAAAATTCTATTCGTAAAACAATTTTTAATCAAATATATAATGATAGAAATATATATACATATATAATCATAGAAAATAAAAGAAGAAGAGAAATTTGAATTAAATATATAAATAGTTTAAAATGAATAAAAATAAAAAACAAAAATATTATTCTATAATATTTAAACATTTGGACATCTTATATATAAGATTTTATGCACTAAAATGAACCATAAAATTTTCAATGTATCCAACTGTTAAAAATATATCAAAAGGAATATGGAAACTTTTTTAATATCCTTCTTGAATATTTAAAAGACGATTTATTTTAAGTATAAAAATTATTCATTTCATAAGATTTATATCATATTTCAATATATTTCAAAACATTTTGTTATCTTACATATTATATTTTAAATATAAAAATATATAAATCAAAATTATATCAATATTCGAATATATCAAATATACTTTTGGAAATAATTCAAGTAAATTTAGGAAAATAATAAATTTATTCGAATATTCTTTGAAATATTTATTTATAAAACACCAACAATACGAACGCTTAATTTCTTTGACGAGGGAGAATTAAGAAGAAAAAAAAAAAAAAATGTTTGAACGTGAAAGATTCTAAGGAGGCATAACAATAGAAAATTGTGAATCGGAAATGGAGAAGGGGAGGAAGAAAAAGGGGAAGAGTAAGATGGAAGCGAGAGTAGGGGAAGTGGTAAGATAGAAGAGCGCAGTGCCGCCGAAGGTAGAGTGCGTGCACCCCGATCGATGAACGTCGTTCAGGGGTCACGCCGCGCCGCACCACGCCGCACCGCACCCCTCTGAGCCACGACGCGTTCTCCCTCCCGATCCTTGCCTACTCATAGACCCCACAAGTGTATTGACTCCCTATCCCCCACCACCATCCTCCAGCGGCTGCCAACTTGAAAAGGAGAGAAGGAGAAGAGACGAAAAGAATATCTATAGCAGTGACCGCTGCGATCTACGACCTTGGACGAGAAAGGTCTCGAATCAGCCTTGCGAGTCATCGGGAAAATCCCTTACTAGTCAACAATCGTACTCTTTTTTTAATTTACTTAATCATCATTTCCTTCTTGCGATTTCATTTTGTTTCTATCACGATTGTATCTAATAATTTTCGGTATAATAATTCCGTATATATGCTGCATTTAATAGTATGATATAGTAAATTCGAATTCATTAACGAATTAAACTTCGATATATAAATGAAAGTTTATAAAATATCGGTTTGCAGAGTCTGAAGTGATTTTATTAAAGAATAATTAATTTACAATTTCCCCATAATTTTTTGACAGACAAGTATATTTTGTCTTTAAAAAACAAAAGGAAAAAGAAAAACAAATTAATCATTTGTTAAACGATTAAATGTTAAAAAAAAAATCAAGTTGAAATCGTATATATTCTCTAGTTAATAGAATAACCAGAATAATCAATGCAGACGATGTAAGATCGCTAGTTGATTTTTTTTTTCTTATTTCTCTCTGCTTCCGACGAAGAAGATAGCCGCCGTGTATTCTGCCCTCTATGTTTTTATAACAGTGTAAACCAATGTCTGTATACACGACACGGTATTAATTCTACCGGCTGTCTAGGCGATTGGATCTCTTCGGGAAGAACACTCTCAAGGGCGAACCATAAATCTTGTCGCCCCTCGCTGGGCCACCTTTGTAAACCAGTACCTAGCAATCACGCCTAAGTGCATCGAGAAAATCGCGAGAGGCGACAAGACGGTTTGTAGAATTGCGTATCCTTTTACACGCGTAATTGTGTGGGATATGATGCATATCTATAAAGTATCAATGTAACGATATCATTTTGTTTTTTCAGTTAACTGTATAAATGCATCGTTATTTA